GACTTTCTCTCTCCCCCCTCTCCATCTCTCCCCTGGTGCACTCGCTCTCTCTCATAATAAATAAACTTAAAAAAAAAAATTAGTTAAGTAGCCCAGCCTCAGGACATCCTTATCAAATAAGTCAAAAGCTTATCCTTTTCTTACAGATAAGAAAAATGAAGCAAAGTGGTATTGTTCAGTGTCGATAGACATTACTGAGAACTCAATATGGGCTAGGTACAGGGGACACAGTGATGAACCAATTACAGTTCCAGCATTATGAACATGCCAGCAAGAAAATAAACTATGATACTGTGCAATGCGTGTGCTATATATGATATATAAGCAGAATGTAGAGCAGGAGTACAAAGAGGAAAAATGAAGAGAATGGGTATGTAATGGCCTAGGGAGCAGAGGTGAGTTTGTAAATGGTTCCTAGAGAAAGAGTGCCATTTGGCCAGGACTGGTGGGGACTAAGCAGAGGATACTATATATGGTACTATATATACAAAGACAGGACTATGTTGTCATTGGTGTAAATGAGCTTCATTTTCTGTGATTATCAGGGAATATAGACATGAATATTAAAATTCTTTAAGTTCAAAGGGAAGGCATTTTATTTTTTAAGATTTTATTTTATTATTATTTTTTAATTTTATTTAATGTTTACTTATTTTTGAGAGAGAGACACAGAGAGAGAGATAGAGAGAGAGAGAGAGGAGACAGAGTGCAAGCTTGGGAGGGGCAGAGAGAGAGGGAGACACAGAACTGAAGTAGGCTCCAGGCTCTGAGATGTCAGCACAGAGCCCGACACGGGGCTTGACTCCTTGACCGCAAGATCATGACCTGAGCCAAAGTAGAACGCTCAACTAACTGAACCACCGAGGTGCCCCAAGATTTTATTTTATTTTTTCAAGTTTATTTACTTATTTTGAGAGAGAGAGAGAGAATGAGTGGGGGAAGGGCAGAGATGAGGGAGAGAAGGAGAATCCCAAGCAGGCTCTGCACTGTCAGTATGGAGCCTGATGTAGGGCTTGAACTCACAAACCGGGAGATGATGACCTGAGCCTAAATCAAGAGCCAGCCGCTTAACCAACTGAGCCACCCAGGTGCCCCTTAAAGATTTTATTTTATTTATTTATTATTATTTTTTAATGTTTATTTATTTTTGAGAGAGAGAGAGAAAGGGAAGGGGGAGAGAGAGAGAGAGAGAGAGAGAGAGGGAGAGACAGGATCAGAAGTAGGTTCTGCACTGTCAGAGCAGAGCCCAACCTGGGGCTTGAACTCACGAACCGTGAAATTTGACTTGTGCCGAAGTCCAGTGCTTACCCGACTGAGCCACCCAGGCACCCCAAGATTGTATTTTTAAAGTAATCGCTACAGCCTACATGGGGCTTGAACTCAAGACCCCAGCATTAAGTGTTGCATGCTCTACCAACTGAGCCAGCCAAGGTGCTTCAAAGTTATTCCAAAAGCAAAACAAGTTAAGGCTAAAACTGCTATATGTCATTCTCTATGGTGTGGGAGTTAATTTGGGGACCCATAATGGAAATAAGTTTGCAAGGCTGGAGTGAAGGGAATACTCAGATAACTTGAAGATAAAGTAGGCAATGTCAATAGCGCAGTGAGAGGACACAAGAAGGCGAAAGAGAAAGTCATAGGGGTATTGTCAGCTCTCCATTCTGAAGAGGCAAGGTGAATTAACACAATAAAAACTAAACTCTCTCACTAACCTCAGCTGTCAGAACTCCACTCAGGAGTTTTGCCACTGCTCTTGAAGGTTAAATGAAACAATGTAATATTAAGACACTATCACAGGGGACCTGTGTCTACTATTTATTATCTCATTCACCATTTTCCAAGCAGGTTATTTTTGCCTTACATTGGGACAAGTACTCTTGTGATCACAAAATGAGAAAATGTTGGCCAAAATCTTTAAAATCTCTTAAGCCTGTGGATTTGAGGATTAACTAATTTTTACGATTAAAGTTATTGCAGTGAGCCAAAGGCAGGTTACTTCAGCCTAGCACTCAATGTGTATCTCTGCAGGTCACAAAGTGCCCCCCCCCCAAATGATGGGGAATTGCAATTTAAACACTCTTTTTCTCCTTTTAATGACATTATCCCCTGCTCAATGTAACCACTGAAGAACGCTAGGTTAAGGGCAGCAGGCTTAACCAAAACTGAGGGTATTAGTAAACACTGTTTCAAGTACAACAGAAAGAAAATGGGCTGTGGGAGACTTGTTCACAGGGTCTACCATTGACTTCACATTTTATATCATTTGATTCTCAATTGAGGAAGAGACCACAGAAATCCAGTAGCAGGATTTGTTAGTTGACATAAAGAACATGGCAAACAAATTTTCCTATTTGATCCTGACTGCAGGGCACACTGGTGAGGCTAATTGAGACTGAACATAAAGGTCAAGCTCTTCTGATTATTCTTGTTAGAGCAGTTTAATCTGCAGCAAGGAAGTCAAATTTTCCTAAAGATATGATCAATGCGACGCCATGTTCCTTTTCAACCTTTTTACAGAGTTCTGTGTTCTCTAAGCTAAAGAGATGGCTCAATAGTTGCCAGGGATTTTTGTTGTTGTTGTTGTTCCTAAAAATAACATAATTTCTGTGACCTGATCATCCTATATGCATAACTCTTTGTGCCTTCTGTTTTAATTGCATCACATTGACTTTAAAGATCAATGTCAGAGCACTTCCAGAATGGAAACATGAGGAGCTTCCTATATATTCTCCCCAGTGAAACAACCATAACTGAAGAAAATTATAAATAAAAAATGACCATTGGCTCAGACAATGGAGCAATTTATGCCCTAGGGCATTGTCAGAAGTAGTGGGGCAATCATTTACCAATTAGTGGAGGCTCACAGTTGGGAGTAATATCGATAAAGGCAAACCAGCCAAAAGCTGTGATAGGAAGATGAGGGAAAGTCAAAGAGAACCTGACTAAAACCACTGTCATCCCCAGTGGAGGGAGGAGGATTCAGGGTAACAGTGTGCACATGGAAGCCCTGAGGAGACATCAGAGCCTCCTGCACACTGTGGGGGACATAGACTATACAGAACTAGTCTGGCCAAGTCACTAAACAAACGAACAAGCCAACAACAACAATGACAACAAGCCCTGGAGCCAGTACGGATCAGTCTCCAGAGTTGCTAAAATGGGAATGTAAATAAAATAGTGAGACATACAGACAGGCGATTGGGACCCAGGCACGTAGAAAGTGCCATTGAGAGGACAAAGATATTGGACTTAGCAGACAAAGACTTCAAAACAGCTATTATAATTATGTTCAAAGAGCTAAAGGAAACAGTTCTTATGAGTACAAATTCAAAATTCCTCAACAAAATACTAGCAAACTGAATGGAGCAACCTATAAAAAGAATTATATGCCATAACCAGTTGAGATTTGTCCTAGGAATGCAAAGTTGGCCTATGTCCAAAAATCAGATAATGTAACATATGATATCAGTAGAATAAAGGATAAAAAACATGATTATATTATCTTGATAGAAAAAAGGCATAAACAAACCCCAACACTCTTTTTTTTTTTTTTAAGATTTTATTTTTAAGCAATGTCTACACCCAACTTGGGGATTGAAATTACAACCATGAGATCCAGAGCCGAATGCTCCAGGACTGAGCTGTCCAGGCACCCCCCGATAGGAATTTTTATTAAGATTTTATAATCCAAGTTTGTAGCAGTTGAAGGACATCATGCCAGACTAAGTGTCACACCTAACTCTGATGAGTTAATCCTCCAACCCTATTTTATCATAGTAAAGAAAGGTATTACCTTGATTATTCCAACCTTTTCAGCATGTATTGGTACTGGGACTTATGCAGGAGCTGGATTCATGCTACCTGTAATTGCAATATGTGACAGAGCCAAGATCAGTGGAAGGTCAGAGACTAGGCTACAAGGACGGGTTCTTTATATTGTAAACTTCGGTGAGCCAGTGTTTATAGAAAATAAATGCCGGTGGATGGATTGGATAATTATTGTGAACCTGTTCCATGCAATGGCAATATACAAGGGATATTGGGGGCTGCAAAGGAAGAAACGTCGGTCTTCCATCATACCTTCTAGATGAGTTGCCTCCTTTATTACTTTCATTATTACATTTGTTACATATGTTATTAAATTCTTTCCCTAAAAGAGCCTGTGCTGAGCCTGTAACCAATGTTCCCCAAAAAGGCACTGTATGATTGAGATGATATATGTAATTGGAAGGGAAAATTCATCAGAGAACGAAGTGTAGATCGTGACGATGCCCAATCATTTCCAGTGACCTCAGATAACCAAGCTCGATTCAGGGTTTCCAAGCCGAATACTCCCGATGGCGTACAAGCTGGTGACATAGTCGGCTAAAAGGGGAGGATGGTTTCCTACACAGAGATCCCCCAGTCCCAGAATCCCACCGGGACTACAAGTCCCAGAAACCCGCAGGGCAAATCTACCCCAGTCCCTAGTCGGCTGACCGCGGACGCGACCAAGTTAGGAAACCGGGGTGAGATGCCGTAGTCTTTGTCACCTACTCTTTTTCCTGTAGGAATAGGGCTTTTTTACGGAGAACTTTGGCATTTCCTCAGTCACAGCTTCCACGAAAGGCCCCCTCCCGGCCTATCTGATGTGATAGGCAGCGTCTCCCATCCTCTCTCTCCCTTTTCCTAGCCCCTGTAAGAATGGTTCAGCCGGGCGTTGAGGCTCCTTGAGTTGGATCGATGGTTGCGCCCGCCCTCCCCCGGAATGTGGGCCTTTGGAGCAAGCGAGGTGGGAGGGACCCAAGCGGGGAGGCGTGCTGGGCCCGGGCGGCGGGAGGAGCCGCGCGGTTCCGGCTGCCCCGGCACGGCGACCCTTGGGTCCGCGCCGCGGGCGGAGTGGATAGGTAGGCAAGCGGCAGCCGCAGCTCTGGGTGAAGCTCGGGTAGCAGAGTGCCCCACGGCACCCGGCGCGCACCCCGCACCCTTGGCCTCCGGCGTTCAGGCGGGGGAGTAAGGAGATGCCTACCCAGAGGGACAGCAGTACCATGGCTCACCCGATCGCAGGCGGCGGCAGCGGAGATCATTCTCACCAGGTCCGGGTTAAAGCCTACTATCGCGGGTGAGTCTCCCAGAGTAGGCGTGGGAGTGGGAGGGGAGAGGAAAGGCCCGCTCGACTTGGACTGGAGGAGGGGAGGGTGAGGGGCTGGAGATGTTGTGGGCGGATTGGTCTGGGCGGGCGACTCTGGGGACTCGGGGTGGGTGACCAAGTGATCCGGGGAGGAGCAAGGGGCGCTAGGTTGGGGCACCCCACGGTGTGTTGCAGGGCGCCCGGGAGTCGCGCGGCTGTTGGTCCAGATTAGGGTCCCAGGGAGGAGCCTTGGAATAGAGTAGGTCCACCTGGTGGGTTCGAGAGAGACTCGCCTGCTAAGAGATTTACAAGGACTTTACGTCATTAAGTCTGAATGTGTTCGGGGCTGAGAGTTGATTCCGAGTGATGCCTCAGTTAACTGAGTTTGCTATAGGTTTAGAAGACAGGACTACTTTAGTTTGCTGGCCCTTTTGGTTGTCAGAAGGCCTAAAGGCTCTGGTTCTCAAAGTCAGGTTTACCTTCATCGTCTTAAGTTCAAGAAGTGTATCTGGATGCCTGTGTATTAGACATAGGAATTATTACTGAAGAGTAAAGGTGATGGCTTTTCAGGGATGTGCATTAGGTACGTATGTCCTTTGAGATTAGGTTATGTATGTGTAAATTAAAAATTTGTGAACGCTTCTTTGTCAGTGTTTCTTCAAGGACCATTTGATAGGGTGAGATACTGCAAAGAGAGAAGAGGAGGAACCGAATTTTAAAGTCTATGATTTTTAGTCGTATTTTTACGTAAGTTCTAACTCCGGTGCTTACCAGAAATAATCCAGTCCTAATATCGTTGTATTAAATCATATTCTATAATCAGTGCCCTGAAGTATTCCCCTTCCCTTGAATTAAGTCGTGGTTTGGAATTTGAGAGAATTCTATTTAGGAGCATTGGAAAGGTGAAATGTTAGTGTGGGCATGAAGATTTGAAACTAAGGGTTAACAAAACCTGATGGCTTGGGCCTGTCTTACTGCTTGTTCAAGTAGAAGTAAATTGCTTTAAAAAAACCTCAAGCACTAGGAGGTTAAAACTGCACTGCATACTTTTACATTCCAGAGAGGATCAGTGAAGATAGCAAACTTTCAAAATGCCTCTCTTGTTTTGATTTCAAAGGAAATAGAAGCCCTAAAACGTCTTATTGATTCGATATAACAACTTACTGGTTTGCCTGCTGCCATGCAGCCTCTGACCTCTTGTTAGCTTGACTGTCTTCACCGGTAGTTTACAAGAATTATTTAGGAAAGTATCAGTGTTTTTGCTTTTAAATTGATCACAGAGGTCTTCATTTTAAAACAATACCAAGAAGTGTGTGTATGTTTTTTTAAAAAGTTTGTAGTGGTCATGAGAGCTGTTTTGACTTGAGTATGGTCAGCTATGAACTTTGCACTGTAGGGGAGAAAAGCTTTGCTTCCTTTACCTTACCTTTAATTTGATAGATGAGATAGTTCACTTTCCATGTTATAATGTCGACGGACAGCCCATGAGTTGTTAGGTACAGAGAATAAAATACGTGGTATGTGTTTCTTTTTTTTAAAGGTGTCTGATTATTGACAGTTAAAAAAGTTAAAAATCAGCATACTCACATGGTGGGAATGTGCACACTTTGTAGATGTATAAATTAAGTTCCATCCCATCCTTCCAACTTTCAGAGGTATACTGTTGACAGTTTATTTCTGTTCTACTGGAGGTTGTCTTTATTACTTTAAAAGTTATGCTTCTATTCCGTGATTCAACTTTAGATAGACCTATTGATTCCTTTCTCTGAAGGATAAGACATTGGGTGAATACTACCTTTTGCTTGCCCTTCTCCTGATTGGTACTTCTCAATTTTTAATTGTTAAACTATTATTTTTAGTTTTCTGGTTTACCTTTATGACTCTGACAATACAAAATTCTTGTCTTATTAAATTTAGATAGTTCCCAATGATTCCAACTATGCAGAAGAAGAAATTAGTGCTTCTTCCTTTTTTATTGGTTTGACAAATCTAAATAGGCCTAGTTAGTAAATTAAAATCATTGTAAACTCCTTTGGAAAGAAATCAAAGTCCGCTGTATTTTAGGAATCTAAGTGTCATTTTTTTCTTGGCTTATTGCTACAACTTTTTTTTTTTTTTAAAGAGAGTAAGGACATATAACCTTTTTAGTGCCTAAAAATTTCCCAAGACATTCAAGTTAACGTTTCTTTTTTTTTTTTTTTTTTTTTTTTTTTTTTTTTTAACCTATGAATTTTTGCTAAGGAATGAAAGAAAAGCCCTTGCCCATTAGTGCTTCTTATTCACTGAACGCTTTCTAATAGTGCCTTCATTTCAAGCCTTATTTAAAGACAACATCGGCATTCTCTAAATTGTACCAATTTCTGTCCCCTGAAATTAAATCTGTTAAGATTATATGTTTATTAACAATAGTCTAAACTGGTGGTTATGATACTACATAGTCAGCTGCTCATTACTACAGATGAATCTAAATGAGTCACCAGTGAGGATAGCTAATAAACAAGTTGGCTAACTAGAACACCTACCTGCTTTTTAAGTAGAAAACCCTTCCTTTATATCAAGAAATGTAAGGACAATCTGCATTTGAAAACGTTTCTTTTCCTTCAGATCTTGTGAAAGGCCATTATCAGAAAGCTTTCTCCTTATCCCCTTCTAACAGTATTTCTTTCCAGTGAACGTTGAATTTTGGAATAGCCAGAATTTTTTAGTGAATACATTGCCTTCTTTCAGAGATGTGTGTGGTGTTGTCATTCAGTTAAATTTGTTCTTAGTGCAAATGCGATGTCTCCCTAGATATAACAGACATTTAATTGGATTTTTTCTAGTTTTTAAGCAGGAGATTAATAGCATTAAGACACTGATTGTATTGGAGACCACCTAAGAGTGACTCTGTGACGGCCCGTACACCCTTTTTTCCTTGACACGGGAGCTTGTCAGTGAGTAGCTTTCCTTCAATCATTAGCTAGTAGTGTTAGGAGGAAGAGAAACAGGTTTTGTTGGTTAGTGATAGATTGCTATTTTATGGGCTTATCCTTATATTAAAGTTACTTGATATTATGGGATAGAGTTTAACAAGGAAATGTCTGGACTCCTCATTTCTTTACATCACAAATGTGTGGGAAATTTTGCAAAAAGGTTGTGAAAATGCTTTTTAAACCACTGCCATTGAACAGTTACAATAATCTAGAGGATTCTTTCTGTGAACATCTGCAAATAGAAAGAGATTAACTACTTGTATATTTGGAATGTATAGCTGGTTCAGTGAAGAAGTATGCAGGATTTTTCTGTGAACAAGTCTTGGCAAGACTTGTTTTTAAAAGTATTGCAAAATAATTTTAGCAATATAAAGTATATCACTATAATGTTCTAAGGAAATACAAATAGTCTCTTGAGTTGGAAGTTGGGGGAATGTTAGTTACCGGTCCTGGAGCTTCTGGCCTGGCACCGAACCACAGGACAACTGATCCATAGTTTTATCAGAGAAAGAGAAAGGACTTGGTGGCCTGGTGCCAGAAACCAAAACAGCCCTCTCAGAAATTTGAATCAGGTAACAAACAGATAAATTGCTTGTTAGCAGTGAACACTGGAACTGAAGAGTGAAGGGAGAGGTTCGGGAGGCCAAGACTGACCATGTACAAATGGCAGGTCTGAGAAAGCAGAGGAGAAGGAAGCAGTTCCCCGTAGAAAAATTCTTCCTGGAGGTCCATGAAAGCTTTCTAATACAACTCCCAACCCTCTTGTTAAGGTAACTTGAGTGTTTGTTGTTTTATGGTTGCAATGAGCATCATTAAAACCTGAATTTTTAAAATTCCATTCTTGCTTAGGATTTCACGTATTACCTAAAGTGTATTTAAAGTCACTTTAATAAATATTGTTGGACACCTACTGCCTACTATAAGGCAGGCACGTGGTACTAGGGTGGGCACAGAGGATGTAAAGGTGGATAATACACGGCTCTGCCCTTGAAGGACCGTGAGACTTATAGGAGGAAAGATCTAGAAGAGCTAATAAAGGAGTGTGTATGTGTTTATGGGTAAGGTATTTGCAGGGTTGGATATTGGGGAGGTGTTTGGGGTAAGAAAGGTAAACCTTCCTAGAGGATGAACTGTTTGAGGCTTTTAAAGGATAAATAGGTTTGTCTAGTGGATGAAGATGTTGGGGAAGGGGGCATTCCAGGCATTGCACAACTGTGTGATATATTTGGGGAATTCAGATCAGTTTAGTTGTTAGTGCCATAGTCCTTCCTTATTAGGACATGAAGTGTGAAGCTGGCACTGATAAGAAGTGAGGCTAAGAAGAAGACTCACAGGCGCTACTCATGAAATTCTTGAATATCATACTTTGGGCTTCGGACTTTTTCTCATTGGCGAGGGTTTTAAGTCAGAGAGATATACATACTGAGATTCTCATTTTAGAAAAGTCAGATTTGGAACCAGTATGGACTATGAATTAGCAATGGATGAAGACTGATTTGGAGGCTTTGGAAGTAGTCCTGGTGAGAGATTCAGAGGAGGAGAAGAGGATCTGGATCGAATGGCAATTTTAGGGGGTAGAATCCATATGAATTACAGATGAATTGCCTGTGGGGAAGAGAGAGGGAATCTGACAACTCTTAGGTTTCTTATTTGAGAGAGACTAGGGAATATAGAAGGAAGAGATTAGTGAGAGGAGGTAACTCATTTCCTGGAACAAGTAACTGAATTTTTAGTTCATCATGCTTTGAGGACATCCAGGTGGAAATGGCCAGCATTAACTGAACAGTCATTTATTGTGTGCCTGCTGTGTGTCCTAAGCCCTGTACGTGACAGCTAACCTACATAGGAATGTAGCTGAGAATGATGATTGAAACAAAAATGCCACCAGTTACCAAATGCAGATGACAAAGACAAGGCACTAAAACTAAATTTTAAAGATACAGATGTACCTAAAATGGAAAGTTTCCCTTGTAGCTTCTCACCCCCACTTCCTAATGGTAGCCATTGTTAACAGTTTGG